TATATATATATATATATATCTTACACCGTCTTCACAAGGCTTCCAGTTCTCGTTGATTCGTTCAGTCGGTCTAGAAGCCACCAGCTCTGAATCCCATCAGCCCGGCAGGAAAACACCCACCCAAGGAGAGAGATCAGGGCCAGCCAGCTCAACCGAACAGGCACCAAAAAGCATAATATAAGAGTCTTAATAATTACCTATACTATTTTNNTTTGGGGGTTCCTTGTTATAACCATAGTAGAATGGGGCCCGAAGCCCTATTCTAGTTATTAAGGCGCCTATCGTACCCTTCTCCGACGAAGCACTAGACGAGGAGAAGCATCCCTTCGTGCCTCTCAGCCCCATGGCCGTCACCTCCCTCACCTTGCCAAAACACACGAGCACGAGGAGGCGCACCCAACCACTTGTGTGATCCATACATGCCAGTTGTCTGGCCAGCCCACCTGCAAAGACGTCAGAGCAGGCCTGCCGCACCCACAGAAGTGGATCATATGCGGCATGAACAAGATTGAGGGCACGGGCGTAAAGAGAGCCGTTTCAGCCCTGCAAGACAAGGTCCCACACATCCACAATCAAAACCGGGTTCCTGTGTGTGCGTCGGTTTCAGGAAGTCCTCGCCTCACAGGAAACCACTGACCTGACAACCCTCAACTCTGAATCCTTCATAGAACCCTAAGCCCTACAAACCCTAAACTCTGAATTCTTTCATAGTCAGACCGGAGCCAAGGAACACCGCCCGGACCTCGGCGCGGTTGCTCTAGGCGGGCAGCAACAAAAAGAGCGAGGATTGGAAAGTTTGGGGTGCGTTACGGTGCAAAGTGTAGGGTGTGCATAAGCAGATTTCAGAGCTTCATGTTTTATGTTGTTTTTGGGATTTACAGGGTGTTTTGTGGGGGCATTGTGGATCCTAGTAGTAGTGTTGTGCACGAAGTGTCTGCAGTCAGGCTCCTACATTAGATCTTGCTCAAGTTGGGATTCGTGCTTGAGGTTCAGGGTCCAGGCGGTGTATCTGGGTTTACGATCGATTCGGTGTTTCTGCAGCCCGTCCTGCTGATCTTGCTAGGTCCACCGGCCCCAGGCAAGACCCAGCCTCAAGCAGCAAACGTGCACTTTCGTCAAAATCATTTCCTTAGCTTTCCAGCATGTCAGCGAGGTCAAGGTTGACAGGGCAGATTCTCCAAGAGCTCGGTGCATTTAGCGGTACCTAGACCCAGCAAGTCTTGGATGATTTATCATGAACCTGTGTCGTGTAGACTTCTATGATAACATGCAGCGGGCTCCTAGAGTGAGAGTTGTTGGTTCAAGGTTTCGGACCTGATGCAAAGGGTCAGGGACCGAACAGAACCTCAACGTATGGCATTGAAACCTGCCCACTTCTGAATTTTATTGCGGCCTTAGAGTGCTGGCTTAGTAGACGTAACAGTCAGCCCTGAACCCTTAAACCCTAAAGCCGAATTGAAAGCAATATAGGGGCCATACCTATACTATTTTGTGGGTTCCTTAGTAAAGATATAGTAGAATGGGCCCCAAAACCCTGTTTTAACTATTAAGGCCCCTACGTATTGCTGCCAGACCCCTTTACCACAAAATCTGTTGAAACTATCGGCCCAAGCCTGCCCTGGCTTTAGATTGCTTTCGGGGTGAGGGCTTGAGGTCTAGGGATGTCTAGATCTACATGTATATCTATATAGTTTATATCTATATCCATGTCTGTATCTGTATCTTTTTCTGTGTCTATGACTATATACTATATCTATCGTGTATCTGTTTTTCAGTCATGTTCATCTAGTTCTGTGTTGGTGTGTTCTTTGTTCGGTTCGTGGGGCCGTGGGGCTTGAGGCTTTGATAGAGACTTGTGCCTTTCCCGGTACAGGAAGATGCTGAGATGCTCGACGTGGTAGCGAACCAGCTAGTGACAAAGATCACAGAGCGCCCCTTGGCATGCATGGGCCGGGACGTAACTCTGGACTTTGAACCCCGAGATTGCTGTCGAAGATCTCACCCGATAAACTTTGCACCATGTTGAGGCGATGGTCATCGAAGTCTTTGATTGAAGTTTTGCACAGTTTGACCTGAAGTAGCAGGGTTTGCGCAAGGACGACACGCATAAATGGAAAGTGAGCCGAGCATAACGTAACTGCGCATTGTGGATCACATGCCTTTTCGTGGTGTCTTATTCAGTCTAGTTCCCTGGCAGCAACCCAGCACTAGTTCTGATATCAACGATCCGAACATCGTTCGCGTTCCGTCTGCAAATGTGGCTGGCGAGGGTCAATGGGCTGGGCAAGGACGAATATGTTGTATAAGTAAGAGTATATGTATGTATGCATGCATGTATGTATGTATGTATGTATGTATGTACGTATGTATGTACGTACGTGTGTACGCACGTATGTATGTACGTACGTGTGTATGTACGTAATTAAGTAAGTAAGTATGTATGTAAGTAAGTAAGTAAGTAAGTAAGTAAGTAAGTAAAAGTATGTATGCATGTGTGCAAACATGTGTATGTGTGTATATATATATATATATTCATACGCACACGCGTGTGTGTCTGTATGTGTGGGGCTCCGGTGCTCTATGTAAAACATCACAAACACGTATCAGCATGCAGCATGTGTGTTACATGTTTATGCATATGTAAGTTGGTAAGCGGTCCATGGTGAGCCTTTTTACGCTGGCTTGTAATCGGGGCTTTAGATTGATTTCATTCAGCTCGGCTCAATTCGAAACCTGGGAGCCTGAACGTCGAGAAGTTCTCATGCTTCTAGAGCCCCGAACCCATTGACGCTGAACCCGACATCTGAAACTCCCGACCATAAACCATCGACTTCTCCTGTACCATGCTGATTTAAATTAATTCTTTTAGTTCCAACAAGAGCTCAGGCCACCCTGTCAGGCATCGTGGGCACTAGAACTAGAACAGTAATTCTCGGAGGTCCCATGGTCCTGCATTACGCCCTCCCTACCGTGAGCCATCATGGAGCCCTCTACACTCTACACTCCCGGACGTCAACTCCTATTTTGCCTTACTGGAGCGTCGTGTAAGAGACGGAGGCGTTCCCAAGTCTTGGCCACAGTCCAGGCAGCCCACAGGGGTCGGCAAACAGGATTTGGACTCCTGCTGCGCTCTTGCAGCGTGGTCTGGCGATGCTGGAGATCTTGGGAGGAAGAGGGGGGGGTGCGGGATTCGCGGACAGTGATTCTGGGGTTTTGGGACAAGGGCCGAGCCTCAGAAAGAGTTTAGTATGGGTTTGGAGGGAGGCGGGCGCAGCTTGTAAGGCCAGGGAGTCTTGGAAACGGCCGAGACCATCGATGTGAGCTGTGTTCCGGACTTTAGTCGTCTGGGTTCTAGTTTAAGCAGTAAGAGTTGTTCGCTATGTTGCTTGGACGAGGTGTCGGAATCATGAATTTCTTGGACTTGAGATCCAATGTGCTTTTGGAGTGTGTGGGATTCGCGATGTTGGGGTTGCCATGGCTGTGCGCTTCAACCTCACCAAACCTATGAGAACGCGGATCCAGAAAGTCCCGAACTCGTAGAGTACACGCGGCCGTGGTGATAAACCCTAAGCTCTAAGCCTTCTTCCCCGATCATTGTGTGACTCTGCCGAAAATTCCCCAGGCTGCACATCGCCTGAAGCCGGACGCCCAAACTCCGGCACCCAAGAACCCAAAGCGCTTCCCCTGGGCAGCCTAAACCCTTCATAGCTGTTTTCCTGAAGCCACAGCGCATCATAACTCCAGAAACCGCAAGACCGACAAAGGCCGCAACGTTGGTCCCAAGCCAATCTTAACTTAAGCCGCAGGCCACAGCATGCAGATGATGACGGAACCTGCCGCGCAAAACTCATCGAATGTACCTGGGCTCATAGTTGGTGATGGCCACTTTTATTTTCTTGCCGCACCCTGTTAGGCCCATGGACCCGAGCCCAGAACTCTATACAGAATCTCACCATACTGTATGTCCACACCGGGCCCCGATGCCCTAGACGTATCATAGACCGCAAGACCGACCCTTACACAACAAAACACGACATGCAATGCATGCAGCCATTGGAATACCCATACTGACAGGTCGCCACATGTTTGTGAAACCTCACCCCATGCAGCACCAAACCTCCCAGCAAGCCTACTTGAACACCTGTGGGAAGAAACCTACCTCCCCTGGCCATTTTGTCAAGCCTTTGATAGCCATGTCGCATTATTCTCCTCAATGGCATTTGGAACGCTTCAGCGCTCCGTTCTTCTAGTCCGTTCTGCATTCCGACACGTTCCAGCGCGGGGTCGACGGCTTCAACGTGATGGTTGGCTGCCCAGCATTTTCGGACAGACTCGGCGCTGGACGTTCTCACTTGACTCTTGGGAATCCTGGGGGTTTGGAGTCTCAGCAGGCCTTCGCCACACCTGTGCATTGCGAGCAGATGGTGAGCTAGTTTGTTTTGGAGACAACCGGCGTGGACA